GAACAGATCACATTTAAAGGAAAACCCATCAGAATAACGGCAGATTTTTCTTTACAAACTATCAAGTCAAGAAGAGCATGGAACAAAGTACTTCAAGTCTTGCAAGAAAACAAATTCCAACCCAGACTGATCTATCCTGCAGAACTATCTTTCAAATATAATGGAGACGTGAAATATTTTCATGACAAAGAACAACTAAAGCATTTCATGATGACAAAGCCAAGCCTACACAGACTACTAGATGATGTGCTAGAGAGGGAGCAAATTGTGGGGGAAAAGAAGCCCTCTTCCACTGATGGTAGGTGTGGCATGGGTACAGCCATGCTGTGGTTTGTATCTAGGTTTCCCCACAAAGCCTCAGGTAGTCACTGAGACTGGCTTCTGGAGTTTGTGATTAATTCATGATCCAATGCTGAGATTATGGATGTGAGTGCTGCTGGAATTATGCAAGTGAGTGCTACACCCGGCCTGGGGCAAATAGCATAGATACAGTGTAAGGAAGGGATAGAGGCTTGCTCTCTGCCTCTGTGAGGCCACTGTCACTGCTCCTCCCTTTTAGCTTTTGTTGTTTTTTGCCACCATGAACTGCTGTCCTCTTCCATGTGCCACTTGGCCTTGAATCCAGCTGATTATGGACTGAAACCTCCACATACTGTGAGCTAAATAAATTCTTTCTACCTTAATTCTGGATGTTGGATATTTTGTTCTAGCAACAAGAGAAAAGTAACCAAAGCAAGAGTCAGTGAGATAGCTCAGTGGACTGAGCACCTGCTTAGGCAAGCACAGGGACCAGGGTTCAATTCCCGGCACCACATGCTGTGCTGGCCCTGTCCCCTGGGTGCACTAAGTTGACCACCATGGCTGGGTGTGGTGGCACATGCCTGTAATCCCAGTGCTGGGGAGGCTGAAAACAGGAGTATCACTCATATTCATAGTAAGACCCTGTACCAAATACATTAAAAGAAAGAAAGAAAGAAGACAAACCATTATGGAAATCAGTGTGGAGAGTCCCCCAAAGAACTAGGATTAGAAATCCCATTCAACCCAGCTATTTCTTTTCTGGGTATTTTTCCATATGAACTGAAAACATCATACTATAATGATGTATGTGCATCCATGTTTATAGCAGTGCAATTTGTCACAGCTAAGTCTTGGAAATAACTCAAATTCCAACTAAGGAATGGATAAAAAAAGATGGATATTTACATAATAGAGTATTACTCAGCCATAAAATGATACACTTGAGGCTTTTCTAGATAAATGGATTCAACTAGAGATCATACTCATTAGTGAAATAAGTCAGACCTGCATCTATGAACATCACCTTGTCTTAGTAGTGTAAGAACTTGAAAAAGTAAATAAAATCTAAAAGGTACAACAGATACTGATAATGTGAAAGAATCTATTCAAAGGGAAGGAGAAACTGGGATGAGGAAAAGAGCTGGGGGGAGGGGAGAGTATATTCATGTATATATGCAGGAGGGCTTGGATAATTGTACTGCTGATTTCTGCGGCCTGCAGAGGGGAGAAGTTGATGCCTGATTTCTTTTTCCTTTTTAATTGTTCATAAATTTTCTTTTTACTGATTTGGCATGCTTATGTCTGATAATCTGAACAATGTAAAGAAAACATTGCTTTACTTTTCAATACAACAACCACTGTCATATTCCTATTGTTCAGTGAAATTCTATATTGTTTCTTTTTTTTTGTTTTTACTATTTTGTATTGCTTAGATGATTGAAAAAAAAAAGAATTCAGGAAAATGAACAACATTTGGGTGAACAGTAAAACATGCAATCGTTTTTTCAGTCTGGCTCTTACTGTGTTCTCTTTATCTTCTCATTTTAAACACTAAAGGATCAAAACATTCACCTTTTTTTTTCTTTTGTTTTTGCAGAACTGGAGATTGAACTCAGATCCTTGCACTTGCCGAGGAAGTGCTTATTTTACTGAGCCATCTCCCCGATCCCTCAAAACATTAATCAAAATGACTTCGAAACAAATCAGAATCATCTAAACAACAACAGAACATGAACTGGATGGGATACTCCTCAAGCACATTCTAAACTTGCTAATAAATATTCTTTGAATGGTCAGACCAAGGGGCCATTCTAGTACAAGAAGGAGACTACTGCTTTCCTCTGCATTCTCAGCTCCACAGGCACTGGGGAGCACCCCTTCCCTGGATAAGCAACCAACAGCAACATCTCTACATTACCTGAGCCCCCTCGACATTTGTCTAAATTAATTTTATTAAGAAAGAAATAGCAGTGAGATAGTTTCAAAATAGGTTAGCAGGACAGTTACAATAATTAATACATTGCATATCATTGTCTTCGTAGTATTCATAGTACAAGATGAAGACATGATCTCTTGTCTAAACACTATTAGTACAAATCTTTCTTTCCTTTATTTCTTTTTCTTTTTCTTTTTTTTTTTTTTACAGAATTTGAACTCAGGCCCTTGTGCTTGCCAGGGAAGTGCTTATTCCACTAAGCTATCTCCCCGGCCCCACAAATCTTTCTTCTCATTGAACTAAGAGAAAGTAGCTGTATGTCTATCCTACCTATTTTGTATACATAGATATATACATTTTTTAACTACAAAATAGTCCTTCATTTATATCTCCCTTTTTTGTTTAGTTTCGTCAGAGACGGGTACTCTACTGCCTTTCAAATATTGTAAGTGCATGAATTCAGAAAAGTAATCCAATACAGTCCAGTAGTCCATAATAGTAGTGTGTCATCCACAGGACTGCAATGTCAGAAGTTGTTGATTTGAGCCTTTTACAGCTCAGCATATTAATATGGCTTTACTTTATATACCTCATGTTTATAGTTTTCTATTAAATGGTTAAGACCAAGGTAAAGCAAGACCTATATCACAAAAAATGTAACTTTTGTGTCTAACAAGGTCAGTCAAATCCCCTCAAGATTTACCCTGAAACCCTGTACTGTAGTTTGTAGCTCCTTTGTCAGTGTCGGCCTTGTGGATGAGTCACAGCCATTACTTGGCCAATTTGCTCTCTGTGAAAGCCTAAGAGAATGTTTCTTCTCCGTGTGACTCTCCTTAGGCACACTCTACATCATCGATCACTTTCCTCTGTGGTCCCATAATCTCCTTGATCAGAAAATTTGGGACACCTCTGAGTTACATGATGTTATAGTACCGGTTCTCCTATGTCCTTAGTCCTCACTGACCTTGAAGAGCCAGGGCCAAAATGTTGGCTGTCCTTGTAGCCCATCTTTCTCTCTAATTTTTCAGTCTGCAAACTTAAGTTGTTAACCCTCCAGAAGCCCCTTGACATTTCTGAAGCACAGTGGTCAAAATCCTAGCTTGTTTGACACAAAATGTGCACCAGTCAAGGGATATGCTATTTCAAACAGTTCAGAGCCCACCTTAGAGGATTACATACATTAGACCTGTGTGGCTATTACATGCTGGCTCTGTGCTACATTTAAGTAAATCAAGGCATGTAATGCAGAGCTCTTTGTCACAAGAGGGACATTTATTGGAAACAATGAAGTATGTTTGAACCTCCAAAGAAAGGACAAAATGACCAAAAACCAGAAGAAGTAACCTCTACCTCAGGGTTACGTTGAAATTTTAAGAGCTTGAAATGGCCTTAGGGCTTCTGCAAGCCAGAGTTGTAAACTGGGCTAACTCCAGTCTCTCACTGCATCTGGTCACTGTTTGGATTCAGTTCCTTCCCAGATGCTTTTCTTGTGGTCAGCACCACCTGTCTGTCATTCTTTTTCTGATAATATTTATTACATTCACTTTTTGTCATCCTTTGGAATTTAAACTTCAGAAAATTGCAATGAATTTACCCAACCAGCTGGAAAATTTAAACCTGAAAATCTCAACAACAACAACAATGGTTTATTTTCCCCACAGCTCCATATTTGGTTTTGAACAGATAGCTCAATTTATTCTTATTTATTTGATGAGTCTTCAGACTGTTTCCTTCAATAGCCAGTTAGGTATCTAGATAATTAACTTACCAGGGCTCATGCCACATCCATCATCCAGGAAGCACAGCATGAATCCACCCTGCAGTTTTTCATTATCCACTGTAAGGGAAAGCAGTTATTACTAATAAATACTGGGCTTAATTTGTTCATCAGAAAGCCATGCTGTTCGCATAATTATTCACCCTCTTCAACTGCAGCCATGGAGTGACAGTTACAGCGCAACAACAGAGCGCAGAACGGAGCCTTGGCTACAGCTTCATAAGAAAACTGCAGGTAAAAAACAATCAAGTCACAGAAAGGCTTCAAATTAATGTAAAACATCTATATGTTAATAAATTACGTATACAGCAGGACATACCCTGCTCGAAAATAGGACTGGGCCTGTGGGTATTTCTTCCCTAAAGAAGGAAAAAAGTAGTTGGTGATGTAACGGCAGGACCCCTCGGTCACATGATCAACCTTTTTGCCCTCCCACCAAAGCACCAACTCGCAAATAAATCTAAGCCATTCTTATTAAATTCACCAGGCTCCCTCCTAAGTAAGTAGTTAATTCCTATAAGAACCTTTTGTGAGTGTTTCTTTTTGGCAGGAAATATCTGCCCTTGGAAGATGGATTTGATTTTAGAAAATGGCTATTTGAAGTCAGCTGCGATGATTAAGAGGTACACTTAAATTATATAAAATTATCTCTGGTTTTAAAAATTGCTAAAGATGTTGCTAAAACTATTAAGGTTAATTTAGTAGACTCTTTGTAAACTAAAAATAATTTCAGTGATGGGGTTGTGAGTTCCAGAAAATTTTTTTCAAGTGTTACTACAGAATTATTTATGCATAATAAACTGCACATTTATGTAAGAAGTTTGGACACACACACATGAAGCCATCACCAAAGTTAAAGGCATGAACACCGCCATCACCTGGGTGCTTCCTCCTGGGCTTCTGCAATCCCCCTCTTACTCCTTTCATCCCTTCTCTCCTGCCTCATTCCCAGGCAATCACTTGATCTGCTTTGTGTCTCCATGAATTCTTTTTAGCATATTTAAGCCAATCACTACATTCAATTCAAGTAGAATTCACAGTTACAAATTAGTGTTCAAAATAGCACAGAATGATTATCACATAGACATCCAAAATTGTACTAGTTTGTTTTCTGTTGCCATAACAAAAGACCTAAGGCTAGATAACTTGGGAAGAAAACAAGCTTACTCATTGCACAATCCTGGAGGCTTAAGAACATGGTTCTAGCTTCTGCCCAGCTCTGGTGAAAGACTCATGGCAGATGGCACCACAGCTGTAAGAGCACATGCCAGCCAGAACGATCGCATGACAAGATAGCAAGCCAGAGACCCGATGTCCAGTTCACTCTCCTATAACAATCCACTATCATAAGGACTAACTCTGTGGAACCAACATGAATCCCTTCCAAGCTCAAGGCCTCCAAGGACCCAACCACCTCCTGCTAAGCCCCACTTCCTGAACGCTCCATTATCTCTTAAAATTGCCACCCTGAGAATCAAGTTTCTAACACATGAACTCTTAGGTATAAACCACATCCAATCCCTAGCACTAATCTTTTGTGAATCGAGTGTCAGTCCTTGGACTGCCCAATGGAAAAGCTCCTCCCAGTTACCCCTACATTCGAGCAGGACTGGGAACCATCTGGTCCCAACCCAAGCTCAGCCTCCGGGCATCTCTGCACAGTAGCTACAGCACATGCTGCGCTTCTAGCAAACTTGTCTTAAGCAAAGAGCATGTGTAAGAAAAAGAAAGATGGAAAAATACCCAGGAGGGAAAGTGAAATACAGTATCACTTGTAACTTTTTGTTTTGATTTTAATTTGTCCTCTGTTTAAAAAATAAACAAATATTTGATTCTCGGCCTACTGTGCCCATCCCACCCCTGAGGAGCACTAAGATGGTGATTGAGATTGGTGTGGTGGCACATGCCTGTAATCCCAGTGCTTGGAAGGCTGAAAACAGGAACACCATGAGTCCGATCTACAGGTAAGATCCTATAGACCCTGTATCCCCTGTACTAAATGCACAAAAATAAAAATAAATTAAAAAAATTTTTAAACCCTGAATATCTGACTCATTCCAGAAAAAGAAAACCCTGTTAATCTGGGCACCCAGAAGCCAGAGTGACAAATAAAAATATTTCTATGTCTATATTTTCTTTCGTTTTTTTTTTTCTTTATGAGACAGATTTTTACTGAGCAGTTCACACTGGACTTTAATTCACTTTGCACACAATACTGGCCTCAAAGTCCTGGAGATCCCCCTGCCTCAGTCCCCCAAGTGTTAGGATTATAGGTGTGCACCACCACACCCAGCCTCATGAAGAGTTTTAATGTAGAATCTTTTTTAATATGCTTACCTTAGTGTACTTGAGTTTGTTAATATTTTATATAATTACATAATATTTCTGAATCTCCTTTTGTTGTTTTATATTTTAATCTTACTCTTCTCCTTTTCTATAGTCTTTTATATGGAGAACTATAGTCTACATAATAGTTTTATGATTTGAAACATTAAATGGAGTGAAAAAAAAACATTAAATGGAGTGAAGTTGAGTAGAAAAAGATATCTTTGACTTGTGCAAAATTCGTTTAGTTGATATTTTCCCAGATAAGTGAAGAAAGGCATTATCAAATTAAGACCATAATGGAGAGAAGGAAGTATCTTCTTGCTGCTATTTCAGGCATGTGATTTAATCTAGTCTGCTATAAATGAAAGATACTTTAAACTGAAATTTTGAGAAGATCCACGTTATAATAGTATTATCAAATTCCAGCATGTATTCTTTTTCTCCCCCAAGAAATATGCAGTTTTCTTTTATGTAAGGTAAAAAAAAAAAATAGTACTTTGTCAATAAAATGTAATGAGTCCCAAGGGGAGAGAGAGAAAGAGAGAGAGAAAGAGAGAGAGAGAGAGAGAGAGAGAGAGAGAGAGAGAGAGAGAGAGAGAGACAGAGAGACAGAGAGACAGACAGAGACAGACAGAGACAGAAACAAAGAGACAGAGGAGAGAGAGAGAGAGAGAGAGAGAGAGAGAGAGAGAGAGAGAGAGAGAG